GTGCTGATGGTGGCGGAGAAGCCGTCCCTGGCGCAGTCCATCGCCAAGATCCTCTCGAGAGGTAGGGGAGGCGGGGCGGCGGCGGCGCTGGGAGCGCTCTGCGGGCACGGCCGGGGCACGGGGCTGTGTGCGAGCCGCCGGGGTTGCTGGCAGTGCAGCGAGGGTGAGAAACACCCTGGGCAGCGCTTGGTTATCTTGGGGCCGGAGCCTCCTGGGAACGGTGGCTTCGGACAGGTTCATAAAAGAACGGGATGTCCCATCACGTTCTGATTCTTTTTATGGGCTGATGCCTGTTTAATCTAAGAATAAAGGAATTCGGTTTCGATATTTTGTGTAGCTCTAGTGAGCTTTGAGCATGCTGTGTCTGGAAAGTGCCAATCAAGTAGCAAGTTGCTGTTCTGAGATTTTTGAAGTAAAAGTTTAATAAATCTGGAAAATAAAATTAATTAATTATAAGTGTGTGTTCTAGAAAACTAGCTGTATTTTTGTGAGGTTTCGTAGTGGGAGGGATAGGCTGGTGGAGATAATGAATAGTTTAATTTGAAGATGAAATATGCTTTAGGAAAGCCCTGAATTGATACTTAATGAAATAAAAGTTTGATCAGTTACTAAAATTTTGTGATCAGGAAGATCACAGCTGTTAAGATCTAAGAAAAGGGGGATGTAATTTCACAGAAAATAATTTGTTTCAATAGCTGGAGCTTTTTTTACCTCATTAATATTTATGATCCTATTTTCACAGGGAACATGTCCTCTCGCAAGGGACTCAACGGTGCGTGCTCTGTGCACGAGTACACCGGGTCCTTCATAGGACAGAGTGCCCACTTCAAGATGACATCGGTGTGTGGTCACGTCATGACTTTGGATTTCATAGGTATTTGCCTGCTCATCAGATATTTTAACTAATACAGCTTGTAGAGCTGCCAGGTCCTTCAGAAAAAGCTAAGGGGTCCCTTGGTATATAGTAAAGCAAGATGTGTTAGGGTAAAAAATTTTCCATGCAAGTTTTGAAAGCCAAGTGTTTTGCAAAGTAAAGCTGTTTGGTTTATAAATATTTCTTCAGAGCTCAACTTAATATACTTCTGCTTTTCAGGAAAATATAACAGCTGGGACAAAGTAGATCCAGCAGAACTTTTTAGCAAAGCTCCCACAGAAAAGAAAGAAGCTAATCCCAAGCTGACCATGGTGAAGTTTTTACAGGTATTCTTTCTTATGAGTAGTATTTAGAATTGTCAGTTTCTATGTTCCTAAATAAGAATTCCTCCAGGGAGTAGCTTTTTGTCACAGTTAGATCTATTTCATTAACATAGTATAAATGATACTTTATTTTTGCTGGTACTTACACTGTCTGAAGTCTTCATTAAACTCACTTCTGCCATCACCTTCTGATTTTTTTTGACTGAGTTCTTGATATCCGGTTTTTCAGAATTGGAGCATTGGCTGCAAGTTTAGCTTTTATCAGCAAGTGCAAGGCACAGCTTATAAATGCCTTCTTTGAAATAAGTTTTGTTGGTTACTGTTCACAATTCTGCTGAAACCAGAAAAAGAAATATATAGGTAGGGAGGTGGGAGGTGTTTTTTTGAGTTGCTGAAGAACTGTGCTAATTTTTCTCACAGGTGGAGGGAAGAGGCTGTGATTGTATTGTCTTGTGGTTGGATTGTGATAAAGAAGGAGAAAACATCTGTTTTGAAGTAAGGTTTCCATTTTTAAGACTCACAATACCATAATGTATGTCTGACAAGACTATCAACGCATTGTTTTATGAGTATACAGTAACATTCAAATTAAAGGTGTATTAAGCTTTAAAGGCATAGAGGGCCTTGGTGGAAAAACTCACTTGCTTTGAACTTTGTAAGATGTCAGTTGAAGAGTATAAATAAATTTCAGGGGTGTTGCTCATCTCAGATGAATGATCAGGCCTCTTAAATGTTAGAACATTCCAGTGCTTCAAGAACTGGTCTGTATTCCACAGCTGGAGTAGGTTTTTTTTTTATGTCCTTATAAAATTTAATCTCTGTTATCTTTTGTTTATTAAGCAATTAGATGCTTTAGAGCGCAGAAGCTGCTTGTAAGTGTATGCTTGCTGCAGAAATTTGGCCTTTGCACATAAAAAGTGTAGAACAAAATCTTTGCTAAGATTTTTTTTTTAACATGCTATTCCCAAAAGTCTACATGAAGAGTATTTGTTTGGGTATTTTCTTTAGTTTAAAGAAAGGTGATTCATGAAGTGATTGTTTTAAGTTCTTCACATACTCCTGTATCATTACTGGTGCCTTAGCAATGTATAGAATAAACCCAGATGGACACTGGTACATGCTCACCAGAAGGTGCTGCAGCTGCACTGGTGAATGCCTTTGCTCTTAGCCAAAAATACTGATTTGCTCCCAGCAGTTGCTGTATAGTAAATAAACCCTTCAGTTTTGTTAATGCTTCCTATGCTCTTGACTGGATGGACAAATACTGGTCTGGCTTATCAGTTAATGTATTGGCATGACATCTTGCTGAATTAAGCAATGACACAGAAACAAATATTTCGTAGAGAGTGTTTTTTTATTTTTAGAGAGAAAGCCTTTATCTTTCAAATCCTCTTTAATTATGCTTCTGATTTTCCTTAGGTTCTTGATGCTGTTCTTCCTGTCATGAACAAACCTCGTGGCACGGAGAGGACGATTTACAGAGCTAAATTCAGTTCCATCACCGACACAGACATCTGCAATGCCATGAATCACTTGGGAGAGCCCAATCGCAATGAAGCTCTGTCCGTGGATGCCCGCCAGGAGCTGGATCTGAGGATTGGCTGTGCCTTCACAAGGTGACAGCACAGACTGCAGAGGGTTTTGTGAAAGGTTCAGGAATGGCTCTGTGCCCTCGTGGTTTAACCCCAGCCAAGCCCCACGCAGCCACTCACTGCCTCCCCACCCCTGGGGTCACCGAGCGTACTGGATAGGTAGAAATGGGAAAACTCATGGCTTGAGATAAAGACAGATTAATAGGTAAACAAAAGCTGCACACACAAGCAAAGCAAAATAAGGCATTAATTCACCACTTCCCAGGAGCAGGCAGGTGTTCAGCCATCCCCAGGAAAGCTGGGCTCCATCACCCATTACATTTATTTGGGAAAAGAAATACCATCACCCCAAGTGTTCCCCCCTTCCTCCTTATTCCCCCAGCTTTATATGCTGAGCATGATGTCACATGATCTGGAATATTCCTTTGGTCAGCTGGGATCTACTGTCCTGGTTGTGTCCCCTCCCAGCTCCTTGTGAGGCAAAATGATTATGTCTTAATTAGCTGTAAGAGATGGTGTTTTTCAGAATGCTCTTTTCCTAATGCCTGAATGATTTTATAGATTACTCATATTTTGTGTATGTATGATACCAAAAACTTCTGCTTTTCATGGGAATGAGGATATTAGTGTATACATTCCTCATTTGTTTTTTTCCCCCCTGCCCTTCTCTTAGGTTCCAGACTAAATATTTTCAGGGGAAATATGGGAATTTAGACAGCTCCCTCATCTCCTTTGGGCCATGTCAGACCCCAACACTTGGATTCTGTGTTGAGAGGCATGACAAAATCCAGTCATTTAAGCCCGAGACTTACTGGGTGTTGCAAGCCAAAGTAAGTTTTAAAGTACTTGATTTTACAAAAGTAATGCATTTTATTTTGTTCATTCATAAATTCGTAGCTGCTGACAAGAATTCACAATGCCTATAGTTTAATCATGTGTTCTCATTCTGTTCACATGTGTGTCACCACTCTCAAGAGCAGATTCCAGGATGTCAGTTTTGTATTAAAGTGCTTATTGTCTGCTGCTTATAAGAATTCTTCAGTGCTAATCATCTAAGCCTAAATTCTGCCAAAAAGACTACTTAAAATGGTTCTCTTTTGTTCCCTGGGGTCCTTGGACTGACTGTTGTTAATTTGAATCCAGGAATTAATTAGCCTGCCAACAAACATTGGCATTGCTGAGTATTGGAATTTTAAAGCAAATAAAATGCTCATTGTGTTAATTGGCAATTGAATCCTCAGAGTACTTTGGCAGCTTAGAGCAGTTTTACAGCCTCACTGCTGTCCAAGCTCTGAGAGCAAACCAACAGGGTTTTATGGCTTGTGATCACAAGGATTTTTTAAGCAAATAAGGGATTCATGGTAAAAGGTTGCCATTTTTGTATTTTAAAAGTAAAAAAAAGTGAAATCTGGCATCTGCCAGATGTCATCTATTGTGATGTTTCTTGTGTGTCTTGCTAGGAAATACTTGGTGCTATTTACAGAGGGGTTTGTGCTCTCTCGTGTTGGTCGCTTCATACTAATTTTTGTACATGGGGCTGAAAATATGACCTAGTTACAGTTTAATACAAATGATTGATTCTGCTAAATCAAAATGGTAAACTTTGAATTTCTCCCTATTTCGGTCTTTACTGTTCCCAGCACTAAATAAGGACAGTATTTCAGTTCAGTCTTGAATAGTTCTGATCATTCCCCAGACCCAGCACTCCAAGTGCTCCACCCGTCTCAAATGCCCCCCAGAAAAAGAGCACAACTTCATGTTTTAGCACTGGTTTCTTGGTGTGGGTTTGTCCTAAATTTGTCCTAAAAAATCCTGTATGTCCTAGGATTTGTTTGCTGGACTCTTGTTGGGAATATGCATTCTCACACTTCTAGGAGTAGAATTGGTAGGAATTAATTTTATTTTTGTCCAATAGGTGAACCCTGAAAAAGAAAGTTCTCTCACTTTGGATTGGGACAGAGTGAGGGTGTTTGATCGTGAGGTTGCTCAAATGTTCCTGAATATAACAAAGATGGCAAAAGAAGCAAAGGTAAGAATATTTACCAAGTGCCAGTAGATCCATAATTTATATAAAGGAAATAAAATTTAATATTTTGCTATTAATATTAATTAATAATTTTTGTTATTAATATTAATTAATAATATTTTAATATTAATAGTAAAATAATAATTACATATTTTAATTTAAAAGTGAATTGAGGCTTTTGGTTGTTTTTGTTAAAGAGTGTAGAATATCTGTATTTTGGTTTTTACTTCATTCACCTTTGTGTAAATGAGAATAAAAGGCAAGAGATTTTTTTATGGCAGATTGTACTGTGCTGGTGTGGTCATCTCAGCAGAAGCCTCTTGTTAGTATTGACTTTAGTAATGCTCATCACTCATGATAGGAACTCTTCATTACTAAACCTGCTAGGAAATACTGTTCAGATGTCTCCAAGCAGACATCTTATTTCCCATGAGACATTGAATAAATTGGAATTTAATTATGTGTAGGGCAGTATTCCTCCAGTTAAATATTTAATCATGTGTATGGTACAGTCTTTATAGCCAATTAACTTATAACTCTGCTCTGTTTAACACTTGTTTGACAGTGTGTTTGGATTTAAGTGCTTATAGACATCAAAGTTCAGAGACTGCTTGAAGCTTTTAAAAATTTGCATTCTTACAGTTAGGACTGTTGCTTGGAATGAGCACTAAATCCTTGTAGCACTTAAGTAGGTGCTGCTGAGGTAAGTGGGAAGTAAAGACAGCAATAAGCTGCCTTGCTATGTTCCCAGTTATAGAACTGATCTAGTCCTGGCACAAAGGAACTTTCAGACTTTAATTTTAGAACTTGATGAAATTATCTCCAGTCAGATTTTCTAAAGTAAAAATATACTGGTGGTTACCATTTTAAGTGAACAAAGCAGATATGATAAGAATAGACAATGTAATGTATGATGCATATTTATAGACATGATTAAAAATATGCATTTACCAAATGTCAGAACTTTTACTGTAAAAATGCTGTTTTCTAGGTAGAATCTGTGAGTAAAAAAGAGAAGGTGAAGCAGAGACCACTGGCTCTGAACACAGTTGAAATGCTCCGAGTAGCCAGTGCTGCTTTAGGTAGGTATAAAAGGTCAGATTTTCACACTGTTTTAACGCAAAATATTTTGGCCTCTCAAACAAAACAAATAATACTTCATTTTGGGCAAAGGATCAAGTTTAGAAAGCTGCTTGTCAAAAGTGAAATGTTTGGCAAGATCAAGGTGACAAGAGTCTTATGGAATGGCTAAGCCATAATTTATTTAAATACTTGGGTAAGGTGTACATCCAGACACAGCAAACCATAATCACAGGGATGTGTGTATGATTTTTGTTTTCTCTTGTCCCCTCTCAGGAATGGGTCCCCAACATGCCATGCAAATAGCAGAGCGTCTTTACACTCAAGGTTATATCAGCTACCCTCGAACAGAAACTACCCATTATCCAGAAAACTTTGACCTGAAAGGATGTTTGAGACAACAAGCCAATAATCCTTACTGGGCAGAAACTGTGAGTACATGAAGCAAAAGTTGTATAATTCTCTAGTCTGTTTTAGACTAGATCTTGCTTGGTGTATTATGAACTATAGGCCATCAGAAACTTTAAATATCTCCAGTTTCTTTTTTCTTTAATGTTGTGTTGTTATGGATTTGATCTAAGTAAGCCGTTTCTCTCTTCACCCAGGTAAAATCATTGCTATCAGAAGGCATCAATCGTCCAAGGAAAGGCCATGATGCAGGAGACCATCCTCCCATCACCCCAATGAGAGCTGCAACAGAAGCAGAATTAGGTACAGACAAATTCGGTGGTGTTGGGATACTGTGTGAGGAAGTCAGTCCCTTAAGGTGCCAGTTTCAAAATCACTGAGTTTCAACAGAACACAAAATTATTTGAATGGCAAGAAGTGAAGAGAGAGCAAACTTGATCCTCACTGAAACTTCTGGTGACAGTGAAGTTCAGAGTTGCTTCAGCAATTGATCCTTGGGACTATAGTACTGCTAAGAAAAAGAAGACAACCTAATGCCTATGTTTCTAGGAGAAATTTTTCCCAGAATAGTAGCTTCCAAGTTCTGTAATTTGATTATATTTTGTGGCTGAGGTGTTGTTTCTCCCCAGGTGGGGACGGGTGGCGACTGTACGAGTACATAACTCGGCACTTCATTGCCACCGTCAGTGCTGACTGCAAGTACCTACAGACCACCATTTCCTTCAGTATTGGTCCTGAAAGATTCACCTGTGTTGGAAAGGTGGTAACCTCACCAGGTAAGACAGATCAGGAGTAAGTATTTGCTGCATATTAAATTTTTTCCCCATTAATACACTGAATGGATATAAAAGTGAAGCTCTGGGGACAAGTGCAATTGGGAAAATTTTTTTGAGCTCTCAAAACCAGAGACCAGATCTTGTCCTAATTTTTGTACTTCATTTATGATAGATAAAGTATTATTTTTCATTTAGTAGTCTCAAAGATTTAATGCCACATTTGCCAGTGTGAAAACCAGTCATTTTACAAACAGTAAATGCCTTTTCAGGGATAAATTACACAAAGGCAGAAGTTTTTCTTGGGCCACTGTAAAAAAAATGTAGCAGCACTACTGAGACTTTCATGGTAAACTGGCAAGTTGTTTGTTTCTTTACCTACAGGGTTCACAGAAATTATGCCGTGGCACAGCATCCCATTAGAAGAGAGTCTTCCCCACTGTGAGAAAGGAGATCTTTTTCCAATTGGTGAAATAAAGTTGCTGGAAAAGCAAACCAGCCCTCCTGATTACCTGACAGAAGCAGAACTGATCACTCTCATGGAAAAACATGGCATTGGTAGGAACTTGATTAACTTACATTGCTCTGCAGTACATCCACCGAGAGTGCAAAGAGTCTGAGTCACTCCTCTGCACTCTCTGTCAGTAATGAACTCTCAGTATTCATTTGGATATATACAGTGATCATCTCTTCCCCTTCAAACCACCATGCTCATAGCTCCCCTCAGCAGATGGTACATTGTTTCTTCCCCCATGTTCCTTTCCCTTTCTTATCCTTATTTTTAGCAGTTTCTGATTTCTGGCCAAATGTTTCTGGCCAAAGCAGTATCCTTTCGTAACGCATCCCTGTCACTTCTCTGTCAGAAAGAGCTGATGTGTGGAAGGAAGCACTTCCTCGTTCTTAGGAATGATTTCTTGTCTTTAGGTCTTGCTTTAGCTTTGCTCTCTTCAGTAATCCTTCTGTATCTTGCTATATAATTTACCACAATTCTACTTTCCTCTATCAGTCTGACTTGTTTCTTTTAATGTATTTTCATGAATTTGCCCCATCAGAGCAAACACAGCCTGTTACCCTACTGTGTTTTTCCAGAGTAAGTAACTGAGAATAGGTGTCTTCCCAATAGTAATTCCTTGGAAGAGATGAAAGGATTAAGGTTAAACCATATGTTTCAGACTTATCAGAACTACAAAGGAACATCAGAGTTACTGGAGAGAGAGAAGTTATGCACTGGAAGTTGGGTGACAGTAAGAAGGTATCTGAATTTAAGCAGTCTTAGGAGACCTGTAATTTGACATTAAACCAGGGAAGCCAGAAGCAAGTAATTTGATGAAAACTCTGTTTTATTCAGGGTGGATATATTGTTTTCCTTTGTGTGTCAGGAACTGATGCCAGTATTCCAGTCCACATTAACAACATTTGCCAGCGAAACTATGTCACAGTGGAGAGTGGTCGAAGACTAAAGCCTACAAACCTTGGCATTGTTCTGGTTCATGGTTATTATAAAATAGGTCAGTTAAACCTTTCCATCCTCTTACCCTCTTTTCCCTTTACTATATTGAAGGCTGATATCAATGTGTAAGTAACATTTCTGTCTCAAATAATGCTTATTTTGATGTCAGCTTACGTATGAACAGTTTTCTACCTCCATTTTTGACCTTTCATTGCTGCTGTCTCTGGTTTCCTATTAGATGCAGAGTTGGTTCTCCCTACAATCCGCAGTGCTGTAGAGAAGCAACTCAACTTAATAGCTCTGGGTAAAGCAAATTATCATCAGGTCCTGGAGCACACCCTTGACATTTTCAAAAGGAAATTTCACTATTTTGTGGATTCTATTGCAGGTAAAACTTTTTACATGTGAAGTTCCCTAGAATTACTTAGTTGTTGCACGGAAAATACTTATCTATTAGGCTCCTTTCAGAGGTTTAGGCTTTCTGAAAAGTTGTGCTAGGGCTGGAAGTTTCCAATCAAATTAATTTGCTCTCCAAAGGCAGTTGGACAGAATCATATCTCCAAAACTCTACTTCAGGTTTATTTTGTGACTGAGTGGTGAGTTTTTGAAAAGTTGAGATTAGTTGAACCATTGTGTTTCTACATGCTCAGTGCAAAATGCTGTGTATTTGTCTTTGTAGACAAAGATTTGTGAGTAAAATATTTTAATTCTCACTTCTTCACAGGTCTATAGATGATTTCATGCAAAGTTTCCTCTTAACAACTGTAATTCTAATGTAAGTGTGATTATTCCTTTTGCAGGTATGGATGAACTGATGGAAGTGTCTTTTTCACCCTTGGCTGCCACAGGCAAACCCCTTTCCCGCTGTGGTAAATGCCATCGTTTCATGAAGTATATTCAGGTCAGTTTGCCTCATACTTGGAATTTGAATTTCACTTGCTGGGGGGCAGTGAGTATAAACTTCTTTACTATTATTGAACTTGGATTTTAATATGGTCATCACAAGTGCCATTCTAAAACACAAAGGCTGATAGGGTTTTGCCTTGGGGAACAAACCAGAGAGCAGGTTTACCACAAGTTTTAAACTCTGTTGACCCTGCAGTTGCTCAGGAGATTTGTGCTCTGTTTCCAGGCCAAGCCAAGTCGCCTGCATTGCTCTCACTGTGATGACACCTACAGTCTCCCCCAGAACGGTACCATTAAACTCTACAAGGAGTTGCGTTGTCCCCTGGATGACTTTGAGCTGGTGCTGTGGTCATCTGGATCCAGAGGAAAGAGCTATCCACTGTGTCCATACTGTTACAACCATCCTCCATTCAGGGACATGAAGAAAGGTAGGAGTTCTGCAAACATGCAGATATTATCCTGACTTTAAATAAATTAGGTAGTCTATTTAATGGGCTTTTTAGGAGTTTTAGAATCAGTGTTGCTTAGTATAAAGTGCTGTTCAAATTAGACTCTAGATACCTAAAATTCACATTAAACTTACCAAAATTTATTGGTTAACAAATTTTTGAATTTTTTTTTTCATAGAAGAAAAAACCTGCATGCATGACCTTCACAACACTCAGCATGCAGTGAAAGACACCAAGATACTAATGCTTTGCACATTTGAGTAGGCTTGGATAAGAGTGTAAACAAAGACCAGGTTTTGGGAATGTTTTGATAGAGATAAATGATGTGTCAAAAGCTGTTGAAGGATATAAGAAGAGGTAGAAGTTGCAGTTAGTTTAGTAACTGTGGGACTGAAACTTACTTAAAGTAGTGCACTGAAGCTTTTCGCCATGTTTTTATTACCATCTTTTAATTAAAAATATCTTGGACTAACAGTGACTAGTTCAAGTATAAAATAACAGTTAGGCAGGAGCCATACATTTAATTGAAAATGTAATGAGTTTTTATCACTAATCTGTCTAAACTGCCTGTACTGTACAGTGGCAGTATATGGAAATTCTGAAAACCATTATAGAAAAAATTTTCAGCGGGGGATTATTCTGAAACTGTGAAGAGGCAAGTTGCCATTTTGGGAGCAGTTCCTTTCTTTAGTGATTTAGAAAATCTGCAGTATGCTCAAATGTCTCTGGCTTCTGTGTCTCACTTCCTTCAAACTGGGTAGTGTGAGTAGTGAGATAAAGGGTGACATGGTTTCACTCTTCTCCTCCAGGAATGGGCTGTAATGAGTGCACCCACCCCACGTGCCAGCATTCTCTTAGTATGCTTGGAATTGGGCAGTGTGTGGAGTGTGAGAATGGGGTTCTGGTTCTGGACTCAACGTCGGGTCCCAAGTGGAAGATGGCCTGCAACAAATGCAACGTGATCGTGCACTTCTTCGAGAACGCCCACAAGGTCCGGGTGTCACCCGAAACCTGCGACTTGTGTGAGGCGGCGCTCGTGGACGTGGATTTTAACAAAGCCAAATCTCCCTTACCTGGCGATGAGACCCAGCATTCAGGCTGTGTGTTCTGTGACCCCGTGTTTCAGGATCTGGTGGAGCTGAAACACGCGGCCATGAGGCACCCCATGCACCGTGGGGGACAAGGGAAGAGGCAAGGCCGGGGAAGGGGCAAAGGCCGGAGACCTGGTGGAAGACTCAACCCAAAGAAACCCAAGGACAAAATGGCAGCTCTGGCTGCTTACTTTGTATAATGGCCACACAACAGGAAAATAAACTTCTTATAAAAATGTGTTTTCTTTTGAGTTAATTTTTAAGTATCTTTCACTGCTTTCCTGTTTTTAGAGCAGTTAAACACCTTAAGTTGCTCCCAAAACAAACTGTTCTGGATGATCCCTCAGTAACTGAGTAGGCCTTTAAGCTTTTAATTTGGATTCATAGATACAATTAGAGCTCACAAACAGTGGTGAGACTCAAGAAGTCTGTTTGAACTGTTAATTGATAGAAAGGAAATGTCTCTTCTGACATTTTTGGGGCCTTTGTCAGCAATGCAAGCTGCAGGAATATAAGAACTGATTAAGATCAGTGTTATGCTGCTGTAGTCTTTGTGGCATGAGACTTGCTTCATCTGACTTTGAATCTTCAAAAATAAGAAATGATTAGTAGCTGTCAGATTTTTAAATTACATCTGCAGTAGCAAGAGCTCTGCTTCAAGTCTGTCATTCTTCTGCCTAAGTGAATAATGCCAACAGACATACAAAATGAAAATTATAAATGTGAAGGGGTTGACAAAATACAGTTTGTCCTGTCCGTTCCCTGAATTGTCATTTCAATGTTGGTTAATTTTGCTGTCAAAAGGAGGGTGTCCTCATGCTTTCATGTGGAGCTGTATCTAACCACTGCAGCGCTGAGTGCCACATTGCAAAATCTAGTTATACAAATACATAATATTCTCTCCTTTCCTTCCATGTGCTCATGGCTGAGCATGTCTAGTCATCTGGTCAAGTACAGTTTGTGTCATCTGTAGCCCCAAAACAGTTTCAGCAATAGTGGTGGTCAGATGGGAGGTGCAAAGCCTGCTGTATTTCAACACAGAATGTGAAGAGATCGACCTGAAATGGGATGCACTGGCAACAGAGAGGAAAGACAAGTCCCTACTAAGGTAACTTACAACTCTGCTGTTTTAGTTGGCACAGTCTGTGCATTTACTGAACCAGAGAACACAGCCCAAATACCACAGCACCAAGCTTGTTCCTCTGATCAAATGTTTGTTTATACAGTTACAGCTCAAACATGAACTATGTTTTAATCATACTGCTTAGAAGATACAGCCATACGTAGAAGGGTTTTTTTCTGTAGTTCTTTCAGGTAAAAGCAGGCTGGAGCAAATAGCTTCTTTTCATGAAAAACCATGACATTGTTTTAAAAATCAAGTTGATGTGGTGCCTCAGAGTCGTAGATCTTGGTATAAACTACAACAGCTTCCAGGGTGTTTGTACTGATTCAATTGTTCAAGTCCTCCCTTACCTGTAGCCTGGTTTGTACACCAGGAACTGCTCTGAACATACCTGTGTGCCCAGCTGGCTGCTGCTGGGATTTCTGTGATGCTTGGAGATGGTCCTGGAAATGTGGGAAACCTGTCATTGGTCATTCTCCATGGCTTCTGAACTGAGCAGGAGCGCTTTCCTCTTCCTCCAAGCATGACTTTTACTTTGCCATTGTTATTTGCAGACAAACTTTTGCTTGTAAAATCTCTTTGCATCCTTCTTATTTGTGTGTATCTCAGTGCGATTTGTCAGGGTGTGTAATTCTTCATAATCTAATGTAGAGTAAGTATTTTAGGATGGAAAAGCCATTCATCTGGGTCAGAACTCACCATGAATACTGTGTGCAGTTTTGGGCACCACAATGTAAAAAATACATTATGCTATTAGAAAGCATCCAAAGGAGAGCCAAGAGGATGGGTAAGGGTCTGGAGAGGAAGCCATAAGAAGGGTGGACGATGCTGTCAGGCACATGGTGAGGTTTTTGGGGTGATCCTGATGGTCCCTTTCAACTGAGATTATTCTAGGATTCCATAAGTGCTGAGCGCGGGGAGGGCTCAGTCAAGAGTCAAAGCAGCCTTCCTGCTGCTTTCAGCCCTTCTCTGATGGCAGAGGGCGTGTGGAAGGAGCTCCAGAAGCTGCGTTGGGCAGAGGGCGGCGCGGCCGCCCCGCGGGGCCCCGGGAGCTGCCTCCCCGCATTCCAGGAATTGT